TTTCCAGATATTTAGTTTTCATTCTCATCTTCCCAACTTCCTCCTTCTCTGTATTCATATTTTACATTGTGATTTGAGTTAAAACAGACCTGTCAGATGATCATCCCAACTTTTAAATAATATCCATTGCCTCTGAACTAAAATTGATTCAACAAGTATTTACTCAAATATTGGTACACACACACACACACACTAATAGATAATCTGTTTTATACTGGACACTACTCTGGGTGAGGATAGAGCAGTGAACAAACAGACACAAATCTTTTCCCTCTTGGAGCTTAGTCTAGTGAGGGAAAATAAAATGTAAAGTATGTGGTTAGAAAGTGCTACATATCATGGGAAAAAATTAAATGGAGAAGGCACATGGGAGTGTGGGGTGGAGGAATGGCTTGCAATTTTAAATGGTCTGATAAGGAAAGGAACACAAACAAGGATTTGAAAGAGTTGAGGTAAGTGAACTGTGTGTATATATGAGGTGGGGGGTGGGAGGCTAGGTAGAGGGGACATTCTAGACTGAAGGGACCCTGAATGTGAAAGCCTGCCAAGTGTGTTCAAAGACAACAGGAAGCTATTGTTGCTAAAGATAAGTGAGCCATGGGGAGAGTAGTGGAGCAAAGAAGTAGATGGGAAAATAGGAAGTGCACGTATAGGATCTTATAGATCATTTATAAGAATAAATCTTAATGAGATTGAGTGGGAGAAATAGAATATAACATTTTGTTGATAGTAGATTGTAAAAGGTAAAAGTGGAAGCAAGAAAACTAGGAGTATATTACAATAATTTAGGTGAGAGGTGCTAATAATAAAAACCAGGGTTTAGCATTGAAGATGTTAAGTAGTAGTTGGATCCTAGATAAACTTTAAAGGTGGAACCATTGGTATACACACACACACACACACACACACACACATATGGAAATGGGGAGTGTGTGTATGTGTATGTGAGAGAGAGGGAGGAGTGGGGAATTAATGATGATTCTAAGGTTCTTAGCATAGGCAATATAAAGTAGATAGTTGAATATGCTAGCCTGGAGCTAAAGGAGTGCCAGGATCTATATGTACTTGGAGAATCATCAGTGTATTGTAATATACGCTGGATGAGATCATCATATTTTCCATTCCTCAGGAAATAAGTAATATAGAAGGAACCAGAAATGGAGAGCAAGAAGAGTTGTCTTTAAGGTAGGATGAAATCAGCAGAGTATAGTGTTCTAGAACCTAAGTGAAGCAGGTATTTCAAAGAAGGAAATATGATGAAAGCCAAATAGAAGGGAGAGATTAGATGACTAATATAGACATGGGACTCAGCAACAAAGAGGTTATTGATCTTGATGAACAATTCTGGTGAAGTAGTTGTGGTGAAATTCAGAGGAGTATGTTTTCTAGAAAGTAAGTGTAGGCACCTCTTTTGAGGCATTTTGCTCTTAAAGGAGGCCTAAAAATACCGTGGTGATTAGTACATAAAAGGTTTGGTTTTTTTTTTTTTAATATATATATGATGGGAGAAATAACAGCAGTTTTTGTGTACTGATTGTAATGCTCCCACAGAGAGAATAATTCATGGAGAAAGACATAAAAATTACTAAAGTAATGACTGAATAGGAAAAACAGAAGAGTGTCTTGTCTTCTTTTTCTTCTCCTCCTCTTCCTCCTCCTCCTCCTCCAACAAGTATCAGGGTTTGCCTTAGAAAGAAGAATCTTGATCAGTTTATCTCTAGAGAAAGAAAGGAAGTGAATATGGAGATATATGCTGGTAGGTGGAAATAGGCAGTGGTGCAAGCAAGATCATCAGCTAAAGGTGAGAATGGGAGAAGAAATATTGGAGATTGAAAAGAAGAAATCACGTAGTTTGAAAAACTGAATAGATTAGGCAAATGTAGTATCATTACTGGACTGATTTAATACCAACGGCATAAAGTTCACAGACCTAGAACAGAACTCTCCAAAAATTCATATGGAATAAAAAAAAAGACCCTGAATAGCTAAGCAATCCTGAGAATGAAGAACAAAGTTGGAGGTATTACAATACCAGATATCAAGCTATATTACAAAGCCACAGTTCTCAAAACTGCCTGATACTGGCACAAGAACAGACATATAGACCAATGGAACAGAATAGCAGAACACAGAACCATATGCTCAATTAGTATTTGACGAAGGAGGCAAGAGCATACATGAAGGCAAGACAGTCTCTTCAATAAATGCTGTTGGGAAAATTGGTCCGATACATGCCAAAAAAATTAAACTAGACCACCAATTTACACCATACATAAAAATAAACTCAAAATGGTTAAAGGATTTAAACGTAAGATAGGAAACCATAAATATCTTAAAAGGTTCTTGAGCCAGCAAAATATCAGACACATGTTGTAGCAATATCTTTACCGATATAGCTCCTAGAAAAATAGAAACTAAAGGGAAAATAAACAAATGTGACTACATCAAAATAAACAATCAACAAAACAAGAAAGCCCACTGCATGGGAGAACATATTTGCCAAAGTTATTTCCGGTAAGGGTTTAATCTCCAAAATTTATAGGGAACTCATACAGTTTAACAAAAGGAAGTTAAACAATCCAAATAAAAAATGGGCAAAGGACCCACTAGTAAATAGACTCTTTTCAAAAGATATTGAAAGCATGCTCAAAGTCACTAATCATCCGAGAGATGCAAATCAAAACGACAATGTGGAACTATATCACACTTGTCAGAATGGTTATCATCAACAAATCAACACAGGACAAGTGCTGGTCAGGATTCGGAGTAAAAGGAACTCCTCTTGCACTGCTGATGAGAATACAGATTGGTGCAGCCACTGTGGAAAACAGTATGATATTACCTCAAAACATTAAAAATGGAACTTCCATTGGACCCAGTAATCCCACTTCTAGGAATATGTCCCGAGAAAACAGAAACACCAATAAAAAAGGATATATGCACCCATATGTTCATAGCAGCACAATTTACAATAGCTAAAATTTGGAAACAGCCTGAGTGCCAACAGTAGAGAAGTGGATTAGAAAACTGTGGTACATCTACACAATGGAACACTACCCTGCTGTAAAAAAAAAAAAAAAAAAGGAATTCTTACCATTTGTGCCAGCATGGATGGAACTGGAGAGTATTATGCTAAGCGAAATAAGCCAGTCGGAGAAATATAAATATCACATGATCTCACTCATTTTTGAAATATAATGAACAACATAAATTGATGGACAAAAATAGACCCAGAAACATAGAAACATCGAACACACTGTCCAACCTATAAGGGAAGGCGGGGGGTGAAAGGGTAAGAGGTCAACCAAAGGACTTGTATGCATGCATATAGGTATAACCAATGGACACATACAGTAGCAGGGGCTTGTGCTAGAGGGTGGGAACAGCCGGGGAGAGATCAATGGGGGAAAAGGGAGACTTATAGAATACTTAAAACAATAAATAATTTAATTTTTTTTTTTTTAAAGAAAAAAGTGAACAGATTAGGCAAATGTATCATTCCTGGGCTGGTTGAATTACTTGAAGATGAATTTAATGAGGGACTACTTAGCACAATTTTAGGTTTGCAGCCATGTTCATTTTTTGGGTATAGTTAGGGAATGTGTGGAAAACTGGATTTAACCAAAGTTGTGGTTTATCAAACAAGTATGGCATAAGAGGAAGGTATACACTACAGCAGACTCTGCAAACTTTTTCATAAAGGGCCATATAGTCCATATTTATGATTTTGCAGGCTATGTTGTCTCTGTCACAATGACTTAAGTCTGGTATTATAGTTCAATAGTAGCCAGTGTTCCTATAAAACTTTATTCATAAAAACAGGCAGCTATTGTTTACTGACCGCTGTGACAGACTAAGGAATTTAAGCTGGATGTGAAAGAGACGATAGGAGAACATGAAAAAGTAAAGGATAGTGAAAAGGTGGTAAGGTCAATGGTTTGCTGTCTTACTAAACTATTTCCTGAGCTATGTTGTACTCTTTGAAAATGAGTTTTCTCTCTGCCTGAAATGGCCCTTTCATACCCAGTTTAGATGTCATCTCTTTTATACCTGTACCCTTACTTCCTCTGCTATAGCCACTGACATATAGAAAGTAATTAATGCTGAAAATTGAAATTCTTCACTTCAGTTTGGTACATAAGATGATTTCAAATTGGGAAGTCTGAAAGTTTGTTTACCTGCAGATTTTCCCACTCAGTGGCCAATTCTAGACTTGAACACAGTGATTCTCAGCTTTGTTTTCTGCTTCAGTGTACTTATCTGATATTGTTCACATGTTCAGGATAAGAGTAGCACTCCATTCCTCTTTTCTACTTGGTACTTAGTTGGAATTCCCTTCTTTATCCCCAATGATCTTGGATTGGTCTCTTTATGCTACTGAGAATGGATGTTTAAACTAGTGACCTATAGTAAACTTGTGAGTATGGCAATTGCTGCCTTTTAAGTTACTCTTTTTCTTTCAGTTAATTGTAGAAGACAATAGACTATCAGGTAACCATAGAATCTTTTTGTAGAGGTTAGGGAAATCTTGAAGAACTAGTCCAGCTTTTTGTATTATAGTTGAAGAAACTGAAGCCTTGAGATTTAAGTAACTTGCACATATCAGTTAGCAGCAGAGCTAGAGCTAGAAATACACTGTTGTAGTTCCCAATTCAATACTTGCTTTACTGCTGTGACACCTTTCTTGATAGGCTATTAGGGCATTGCTTTTCAAATTAGAAAATGTGAAATTTTGTGGTAGGTGATATCCTTTAAAATCATATAACCTAAAAGCTTAAATATGATTAAGAATCTTAATAGTACTGAAAAAGTGTGGTAGATGGCTTTTATTATTGTGGTTATATTCTGATTTAATTTTGTATAAATAAAATTGAACACATTCTAATTTTTTAATGTGAATAAGTGAGTATATACTCTTATTAAATATTTATTCTAGTTTGAATATTTAAAGACTAGTGTCTAATCTTGTTATTTTGTTTGTTTTTAATAAACTTTTTCAGAAAGATGAGGTCTATCTCAATCTGGTGCTGGACTATGTTCCGGAAACAGTATACAGAGTTGCCAGACACTATAGTCGAGCCAAACAGACGCTTCCTGTGATCTATGTCAAGGTATGTGAAAATGGAGCAATTTTCCATTTTAAAAAAGTACTTATAACGAGTCAGGGAGAGGGCTATGTGTTTTATAACTACATTATCACATCTAATACTAATGGGGGAAGCTGCAAAGTAGGTATTGCTAGAGCTTCATTAAATTCTTGTACAGATTTAAAGTGTGAAGCCTTTACTTTTTAAACTTTAATGACTCAGCTATTAAAGTTACTTATCTCTCTGACAGTGAATTTTTCACAGATAATTATGGACTTAATTTTGCTAGGCATAGCACCTATTTATTTAATTTCAGATATACTTATATCACTGACTGAAATAAGAGCAATCATACCACGAAATTTTGAAATAGTTATGAGTATGATCAAAATCAATGTTTGATTGCCACTTACATATACATTGTTTTTGTAGTCGAAGTTTCAACTTTTGATAATTTTAGATATGCATAGATTCTTTCAAGGTGTTATTTTATTTTTGGTACCTAATACCAATGTCATATTTTTTATTTTATAGAACTCATGACAGAGTGGCTAGGAATTTATCCAGCATAATTGTGATTAAATATCAGGTTATTTATATTTCAATATATCTTAAGTATATTTTTAAAATTTACTTGTTAGAATTGGGATCCAAGTAAGGCCCCTATATTGCAGCTGTCAGATGTGCTGCTGCTGCTGCTCTTTTTGTTTTTAATTGATTTGAGAGAGAGAGAGAGATCAATTTGTTGTTCTACTTATTTATTGCAACCTTGGCGTATGTGCTGCTTAATGTTGTTTTAATCTCTCTCTCTTCTTCCCTCTCCCCTCATTCTCTCTCTTCTCCCTCTCATTTTCTTTCTCTCTCTCTCCCCACCCCCTTCACTTTTTTGGTCTGGTTTTTATGTCTGGACCACTACAGTACAATGTACTATATTACTACTCTTCTTTGTATTTCCTGTAAATTTGATAATAGATAATTTTTTTTTGTAGGAATCAAGACTATTTCATATATAGTTTTGGGTGCTTTCCTAAGGAAAAACATAATATCTTTCTTTTTGTGATGCTTGTAGCCATTGATGATAATTGCCTAAATCCATTAATTCACTAATGGACATAAAATTTTTTAATGTTATTATTCCTTCTTAATTTATAAGCTAGAATAGTTCCATAAATAGAAACTTTCCATGTCAGCTATTTCATTACCCTGAAGTACAGTTTATATAAGACAGGATATATATTTGATTATTTTCCTTTATTTATCAAAATTTATAATAATTTATTGGTTCCATAGCACCCCCCAAAGGTGACCGAGGAGTTATTTGTTGTTGTTGTGTTTGTTTTAAAGCTTCTTAGACAAGTCTTAGTAATGTTTGATAGCTTCCTTGTTTTCTATTAGTACTCTAGATTCATCTTATACATTTCTTCTGCAGAGTTGGAATGAGCCTTTTCTTAAAGGGGAACTTATCTTTCAGTGGGAGATGGTATTCAGAGATCACAGTCTGGATATTGGGGATGCTACTTACCAAAGAGTTGGTTATTATTTTTAGGTCTTTTTAGTGGACAGAGCTAGGAAATATGTGGATGTTTGTTTTCAAAGGCAAAATGCATCTTTTTATTCATCCCAACGATAAATATACTATGAGTTCATATTAATATTTCTTTTTTTTAATATATATTTTTATTGATTTCAGAGAGGAAAGGAGAGGGAGATAAAAACATTAATGAATTGAAAGGAACATTGATTGGCTATCCCCTGCATGCCCCCTACGGGGGATGGAGCCCGAAAACTGGGCATGTGCCCTGACCAGGAATCGAACCCTGACCTCCTGGTCCATAGGTAGATGCTCAGTAACTCAGTCACACCAGCTGGGCTATCTTCTTAATTAAATTTTGAGGGGGTTTAACAATCCTCCATCTCTATTTCTTTTTCTTTACACTAAAAATTCCATTTTTTAATGCAGTATAATTAATTACTTGTTGTGTCCCATTCTATACATATATACATACAGTAGTCTTAGGATAGCAATACCAGTACTACAATACCAGCTGAAAATAATTGAAAATCTTTTTGCAGCTCTTTTTTATTCCCATGATACATTCCATTAGAATTGGTTCTGAACCTTTCTAATGTCACTACCCTTTAATACAGTTGCTCATGTTGTGATGACCCAACCATAAAATTATCTTCGTTGCTACTTCATAACTGTAATTTTGCTACTGTTAATGAATCATAATGTAAATATCTGTGTTTTTCCGATGGTCTTAGGCGATGCTGCCAGCAGTTCTCAACTTGTGGATCCTAACTGCCTGACCTGTTGGTCCGGTCATCCCTAACTGCCCTCCCTTGCCAGGCTGGTTGCCCCTAACTGCCCTCCCCTGCAGGCCTGGTCCCTCCTCAACTGCCCTTCCCTGCAGGTCTGGTTGCCCCCAACTGTCCTCCCTTGCAGGCCTGGTTGCCCTCAACTGCCCTCCTCTCCTGGCCATCTTGTGTCAACATGGGGGCAGCCATTTGTGTATTGGAGTGATGGTCAATTTGCATATTACTGTTTTATTAAGATTATAGATTGTTTTAACTTTTTTTAAAGTTAATTTACCATCAAAATAGAAAATACATAGTTCTAAAGTAATATCTATAAAACAAGATATATGCAATTTAATAAGTTTAGCTTTTATCCGTTTCCTCTACCCTCTACCTCCCCACTTCCAGAATTGAATATTCAAAAATGTTAAGTAAATGTATATAATTGTTTTATCACTCCACCTCCTTTTTATCTAAATGGTTATATAATGTATACATTCTTCAACCTTACTTTTTAAATTAAAAATGTAAAAAATAAATAATAAAAATTATTCTGGAGAGAGAGAGAAAGAGAGAGAGCTATTTTGCCTTTCTTTTTTACAGTTGTACGTATTAGTCTGTTGCATGGCTATATCGTAATTTATTCAGCTGGCCAATTGTTAATGGACATATTGTTTTTTACTTAAGTAACTTTTGCCCATAGACCTCACCATTTAATAAGAACTTACTTGGCATACATGTTATCGAAATGGCAATTGTAGTTTTTTGTGACTCTTTAACTTTCATGTTTTCTGGGGGAATTGAGTATGTTTGATGATTTTATTGCTTCAGACCTCTTTCTTCACCCGTTTTATAGTACTGGTCACTTTATATATAGTTGATGATAGCTATATATGTTAAGTTTTTGAGTACCTTTGCTTTTTTGATTAACAGCTTTCATAATTAAGTGAATGTTTAAGCACAATTCTAAAATGGATACCTGGCAAATCATTGATTTTGAAATGTTTAAAATTAATAAATACATGTTTAAGGATAGGGTCTGGGTACATAAGAGCTGGATATATTTTTGTGAATCATGAATAAAATTGTTATTCTATTAGTTTTAAACAGGTTTAGTAGCACAGAGGGGAGAGGACATAGGACTTGAAGTTAGATTTGATAATTTTACAACTGTTTCAGATTGTGTTCAGACTGCTAATTGGGCCTCATTCGTCTCTTGTAAAATTTAGGACAAATGTGTATATCACAGAATGATTATAATAATTAAATAAATGGTGAAACACTTGGTTTTACAGTACTTGTTAAATAAATCTCAAATTTCAAAATGTAATAGATATCTGAGTTTCTAAGAGTTTATCATTCTAGTCTTTTTAACGTCGTGTCCAAGCAATTAAATAATTATGTTCTTCCACTTTTAGTTAATAGGATAAGAATAAGGAAAAAATAAAGAAATAGTAATTAAAAGAGGCATACTTACCTAAGACTCTGCAGAATATTAAGTATGTGATACTGGACAAATCGCTTAACCTATGTGTCTCAGTTACTTTATATGTAAAATAGAAAAATAGTTGTACCTATTACATAAGGGTTAAATAAAAGAATACATGTAAAGCTCTTAGTACAATGACCAGTTGTTTATCTTGTTATTGCTTTCTATTAGTAAGCCTCTCAGTTATCCTATAAATATACTTTTACAGACTCAAATAAAGATATAAAAAGTCATTTTTATATTGACTTTTCAAAAGATAAAATGAAGAGAATGGGAGATAGAATAGATCTTTCAGAGGAATGAATATTATAAAAAGATAGTTTAACCACATTTAAACTCTTAAGCAAATTTAGCAAAGAAAACATTTTTTTCCATTGATTCTTGCTAACCTACACATCAGTGTCTTTAATAAAGTCTCTCCTTTAGTAAATTAATGTCTGTGAACTCTTATGGGACTTTTTTTTTTTTTTTTTTAAAGTGGCAGTGAAGTAAACTCTTAAAACTCTAAGAGTAAACTTTAGGACTTGGAGATTGGTGCTGTGAACAATGATACAATATTAAAATTATGAAGCTTTTAAAAAGTTACATGAATGACCTGGCTAGTGTTGCTCAGTTGGTTGGAGCAATATCCTGAGCACTGAAAGGTTGCAAGTTCAATTCCCTCTCAGGACATATACCAGGTTGCAGCTCCAATCCCTGGTTGGGGTGCATAAGGGAGGCAACCTATCGATGTTTCTCTTTCACATCAATGTCTGTCAGTTTCTCCCTCCTTCCTTCCCTCCCTGTCCCTTCTTCTCTCATTAAAAATCAGTGGGAAACATGTTCTTGGTGAGAAATTTTTTTTTAAAGTTATTAAATATCTACATTCCTTAATTCTAACTTTGGTGGCAAAATGTTGACCTAATTGAAGATCTTATCTGTGCATTTTAAATTATGCTTCATTTTAAAGAAGGATTAAACTTTTCCAGTTGTAGTTCAATATAATGTTAAGGATGCACTGAAATTACCTGTCTGCAGTTTTCATCATGGCCTGTTGGAAGGAAAGCAGGTCTCATGTTAACTTGAATTAATAACTAAGTCTTAACAGTAGCCTCTAAATATGGTGCCATGTGACAATGCTCTCTCTATCTGAACTTTAGTTATCGGTTTTGTTATTTTTTATCAAATTACTGTTATCTTTGGGCTGAATCATTTCAAAAAGTCTTTCCAAGGTGAGAAGTCACAAAAATTTAGTGAACCAGAACATGGACCTTGGGATAAACAGGAGGTTTAAGATACACTTGATCCTTTAATGCAGGGATAAGGGTGCTGACACCCTCCCCTACTTCCACTTCTAGTAAAAAATTCACCTCTATCTTTTGACTCCCCCAAAATTTAACAGCCTATTATTAACAGAAGTCTTACTGATAATATAAATAGTTGATTAATAACATATTTTGAATGATATATGTATTATATACTGTATTCTTAAAATAATCTGGAGAAAAGAAAATGTAAGGAAATCAAATGAAAATACATTTACAGTACTACACTGCATTTATTGATATTCTTAAATTTACATCACCTGTTTATGTAAGATTTATCATCTGATAAATCATCTTTTAGTACCTATATCATCATCTTCTTGTAAAACATTATAGATATTATATGTATTACTAACACTAAGCATAAATATTGAAAAGATAATGTGAAAAAGAAGTTCAGTTTATTTATAGTTATAACAATTCATGCATTAAAAATAAAGAAGCAAACAATATAACTTTATGGTAGCCTCGTGTTATAGATATGATTGCTTCACAGTAGTAAGGAAATCTCCCCCTAAATTATTTAATATTATTTGTTGAACAAAATCCACACATAAGAGGACCCATGAAGTTCAAACCCATGTTGTTCAAGAGTCAACTGTATTCTCTTTCTTTATAAAGTCTCCCTCTCTTCTCCATCAAGAGTCTGATTCTTTCTTCCATGCAGACCCAATTTCTTGGTGCTTTTTTCTGAGTAAAATTTGAACAAATACTCTTTTAAATTATGTCAGTTGTCAGCTAGAATCTGTTTTTAAATGGCATTTTTGAAGGATATTAATAGGAAGCATAGTGATGCTATTAATGGGGTCATTAATATCTTGATAGGCCATTGATTATAGATTTTTCTCAGTTCACATGTGAATTTTTCCAGGCCTCTTTATCAATAACCTCTGGGACTGACATCTCAGAAAAATTATTCTGAAGATGAAATTGCAAATACTTTAAAAGAATGATGAACTTAAAAACTGAAGACTTGGCTTTTGGTCTAAACTTTCTTATTAGTCACATGATTTGAAATATCTCTGTGAGCTTTTTATCCATTTGACAAATCCATGGAGAGCTTGGATTTGTTTTGCAATCTTAGTAAAATAAAATATTATAAGGCACATTGTAAAATTTTCTTTTTTAAGTTAGTAAAGGATGGTATAAATATATTATATGGTTAATGAAACTTTAATTAACTAATTAACATAGAAATGACATGAAACTTGTTAAAGAAAGATTGAGTACTTATAATCCCCAGCATTTCACCTTATCTGTTACTTTATTTACCGCTTAAGGATTCTAATTGTTTGGGAGAGAAACTATTCAGTTAATTTTTGCTATTTTTTCCAGTTGTATATGTATCAGCTGTTTCGAAGTTTAGCCTATATTCATTCCTTTGGAATCTGCCATCGGGATATTAAACCACAGAACCTCTTGTTGGACCCTGATACAGCTGTATTAAAACTCTGTGACTTTGGAAGGTAAGTTAGCTCTATTTTCTTCTCCCTTCCCTCTTTTATAATATCAATCTAAAAATATTGTAATGCTTATTCAGGGACTATATACTAGTGCAGCTTCAGATAGTTTGGTAAGTTCTGTCAGAATTATAAATGCATATAGTCATCTAGCAATTTAATTCTTAGGAATTATTCCCTTAGAAATATAAAACAGTGTATATACAAGGATTTTTGTCACAGCATTGTTTATCAGTGTCTGTAATTAAGAAAATGACCATATAAATAATGGCATGTGGTAGCTCTATAAATTGAAACGGAATCATTTTTGAGAAATTCTAAATTTAAAAAGCAAGGTCAAGCCTTGGCCAGTGTGACTCATTTGGAGCCTCATCCCATACACAAAAGGTGGTGGATTCTATTCCTGGTCAGGGCACATGCCTAGGTTTTAGGTTTGATATGGGTTGGAGCATGTGTGGGGGGCAACTGATTGACGTTTCTGTCTCTCTCTCACTCAAATCAATAAACATATCCTTGGGTGAGGATTGTTTAAAAAGCAGTCATTGAGCAGAGGGCGGGGACACAGCCTGCAGATCTGGTCATGATGTGATGCTGTAATGGATAATTTGCATAGTTCTCTTATTATTAGTATAGATAATCTGTTGCTATGCTTTGGTGGGGATGGGTACTTCTTACTTTTCAACTCTTTCTTTGTATTTCAGAGGTGGAATTTAGGGAACCAGAGGATCAGATGAAATTAAGCATTTATCCTTCTGTCACTTTTTATCTCTTTTACCTTAGGTGACAGTTGACAAATGCAGTCTTTAAAAATTATTCTTATTTTAAAATTAATATATTACTAAAATTATGTTTCTTTTGTTTGAAATAATTATGGTTCATATTTTCTTTTTCATGTATGACATGATTGGAATTACATGAACCTTAGATATAAACATTTAATTTTGTGCATGATAGCAGTTTTAAGGTTTAGTTAGTTTTAAATTTTTCTGCTTTTTATTTTTGTTAGTGCAAAGCAGCTGGTCCGAGGAGAACCCAATGTTTCGTATATCTGTTCTCGGTACTATAGGGCACCAGAGTTGATCTTTGGAGCCACTGATTATACCTCTAGTATAGGTAAGTACCAAGTCGGAATGTAAATGGCTTGTAACTGTTAATTGAATCTTGTTTTCAGTAATTTAGTATTAGTAACCTATACTTTCACTTAAATATAATGATGGGTACACCCTAAAATGTGTTTTTTCTTAACATAAGCAAAAATATGTATAGTATTTAAAATTTTAAATATACTTACTATCAACTTTTAGGTTTCTTGGATTTTTCAAATAATCAAGTTATTTATGGTTGCATGATTACCTCTGTTTTTAACTTAGACTTTCAAATAAATCCAAAATATACATTTTCTTTCCCTTTTTTTTTTCTTTTAAATTCCCCTGAAATACTTCTGAGCTTGATCAGCAGTTGGAGAATTTGCATTCATTATTTCTGATGATGAAAGTAATGGAATGACCATATTGTTGAATCCTACTATGCTGTCTCAATTAGTTATTTAATTTTAATTTAGATATTTATAAAATAACTCTCATCTTCTTTTAAAAATATATTTTTATTGGTTTCAGAAAGGAATGGAAAGAGAGAGATACAATCATCAATGATGAGAGAGAAAAATCATTGATCGACTGCCTCCTGCACACCCCCTACTGGGAGATTGAGCCTGCAGTCTGGGCATGTGCCCTTGACCAGAATCGAATCTGGGACCCCCAAGTCCAAAGGCCGATGCACTATCCCTTGAGCAAACCCAGCTAAGGCTCTGACTTTTTCTTTAGTAGTTTGGCTAAATCCACTAAGTCTGTAGAAGTCTTCATAAAAGAGACAGTTGAATTGAATAGAGATAGTTTCCTCCAATCTTGACTGACTTCTCTTCTATCCCATTTTTGCCCATTAGTAGGAGTGAACATGGAGAGTATGATCATGTGGGCATGAATAGGAAGCTAAGGAAGAAGGTGCAACCTTAAGCTATATGCAAGTGGAAGTCAAAATTATTGTTATATATTGTTTCAGAAGAGAATTCCTTAGTCAAAAACAGAAACAAAAGCTTACAAGTACCAAGCAAACAAACAACAAACAAAACTCAAACTTCTGTAATAGAAATCTAGGAAAACCTAGAACTTGGACAAGTTTTTCTCTTGATACAAGTAGAAATTCTCTTATATGAACAAAGACCACTAAACAGAAATACACCACCAACTTTATAATGCCAAAGAGCAAAATGCCAAGGGAGCAGCAGTTTTACCGACCATGGCTGGGCTCAGTAGACCATACTTGAGACCCGTGACCCTGAAGGAGAGAGAGTATAATTGTGTTTTTGTGTGATATGTAATGCTCAAAATTTCATCATGGCTATGTTATATGACATGTTAAGGAGCACATGAGAAATAGTGAAAAGGATATTTTCGTTGTTGTAAAACTAGATTTGAATTTCAAATTTATTACTACTTAACTAAGCTATAAAGTAGAGATTCCTGACAGTTCTGCCTACCTTTTTGAGTGGTTTTAAAGATTTAATAAGGACTATAGAAGTGTAAAGTACTATTTTTTGTAGTATTTACTAACTTGACTCTCCCAGAGACCAAATTTCAGCACTTTATTTTTGGAGATGTCATTGTATTTTCCAGCTGCTTTATATTTTATTCAAGTATACACCAATCATCTGCATACCAGGTACTGGGATGAGATGTGCCTAAGTAAATACAATTTGCTTTATTCAGAAAGTTATGACTACATCTTCTGACACATGAAGGCATGTTTATATAAAACTTTGACCCTCTTAAGTGCATTGCTTCTATAAATGTCCATGTGCCCAGCAGTTCTTTGGAATTTTCTCAGATTAAAAAAAAAAAAAAAGACAGTGTAGTCTGTTTTCTCTATTAGAAACCAATTCTCTGGATGTTTGGAGTACCTGTATCCCATGAGCCTCCTTTGCATCACTAAAGCCAGATTCTAACTTCTGACTTTTTAGCCTTGGGACTCTCCATATGCCACCGACTTAAGCCTGAGGCCTTTTAAACCCCAACAAGCCTATATTTGGACTCCCTTTTTATAGTTAGGACACTTGCCTCTTAACACTCTGGAATACTTGTAAACAAACAAAAACACAGTTATTTAGAAGTGTACTAACACAAGTACATTTTAGAAATATTTTAAACGATGTTTAAAGTAAAAGAGTAGCTGGTTTGACTAGTTTATTGTCATATTTGGATAAAACCAGAGCTAAGATTAATGGCTCCGATTCTATTGTCTTACTAAGAAATGGTAGAATGAAAACAAATGGCTTCTTTAAGATAAGGAATTGGTTTTACAGACCTGTGAAGAAACAGGTATTCTGTGGTGATAGTGACATTGAAATTGGGATCCAGGCCCACTTCTACTCAGTAGCTTTACCTTGGACAAGTCACTCTACTTCCTTATCTGTGAAGTAAGTTTGTTATACTAGATAGCCTTGAAAGATTGCTTTTACCATGAATTAAAGTATGAAATAGAATACTGTTTTGGCTTAATTTCCAAATAATCAGAAAATTCAGTGTGCTAAAGCACTTAATGTTTTTGCGCCTTTTGTTTAGTTCTGTTTTATTCTTTTGGAGAATATCATCCATTTGTCCTCTGAAGTAATAAGAACAGAAGAGATTTTGGTGTCTGCCAAATAGTGAATGATAAATATCTTGATTTTGGTAATTTGCCTGAGTTAACATGTATTGAAGACCACTAGTATAAAATTGCCACCTGAATGTTTTCATTTAATCTTCTGTGACAACCACTAAGCAATAGTATTCCTTTTTCTTTTTAGCAATAGTATTCCTTAATATTTTACTCCTTGTCTCCCATATTTGTACCTAGAATCATGCCTAAGAAAGTGTTTCCCTTTTTTGTTTTATGAAAGTGTAATTATTTCTCTGCAATTTTTCTATTGTCTTCTGAGGTGAATTATTCTGTATTACAGAGGAAAGAAATTAATTGCTATTATCTTTCATCTAATTAGCTAGGTAAAGGGATATTTTTAAACCTAGATAAAAATAAATAAATTACATTAATAAGGAGATACATTTTCCCACTTGATTTTAAGAGTTAGTATTACTATAGGCTTTGAGTAAAGTAAACATTTCCTTGCAGATTCATATTTGCTTTAATTAACAATTACCTAATAGATCAAGGAGGGCTTTTTTTTTTTTTTTTTTTTTTTTCTGTGATTGCAAAATAGGTATCTTTGTTGTCATTACTTGGAACTGGATAAAATCAACTTGAATTTCTAAAATGAATTTATCATTTTACTAGGTTAGTAAAAGGTAATCACTGGAGTAGGGATTTTTAATTCTCTCTTTATAGTGCATCTTACCACATCAGACCTCTTAAATTATTTGTTGTCCCATGCCATTTCACTATTCTTCCTCCCTGTTGGTAGATGGGAAAGCCCAGCAATGATTATGTTCATCTGTCTAAAGTACTTGATTATTGGTTTATCAAAACCCAGCAATCTCAGGCATCCAGAAACTGAAAATTAGTTTAACCTTAAAGGAAGACTTAATGGTGGGCTATATGTAGAGTGGCCATATAATTTATATTCCCATTTGGAGAGAAAGTATATGCTTTAGTAATTATTCCAGAGCAATAGATTTAAACCAAGACTCTTTTGGGTAAGCCAGAATGTATGCTTTAAATTATGTTTTAATTTATTAATTATGTTTTTAACAGTTTTCCTCAGAGATTAAGGTTTTCACTTTGACTTAAAAAATGAATTATTTTGTTATTTGTTAAATAAAGTATATTTTTCTGTCTTTACACTTTAATATAATAACATATTTAAGAACTTTTTTTTTCCCTATCAATATTTCTGACAGCATAAATGTCAAATATTTAAAGTCCTAAAATTTTTTTCTCAGAATTTACATTGGTTTAAACTCTGTGTTCAGGATATTGAACCCTAGGTTGTTGCTACTCTTTAAACACCTAATAATATCCAAAGATGTGTCACTTTGCCTTATTTTTAACTATGATAAGTAGCTAATCATGCCCTATGTTTTGGTACTGTAATTTCCTGTCTTGGTTATTGAAGATTCAGACACCTGACATTTGATGATAAGTAAACCTTTTGGGGGGGAATATTATGACTGGTCTTGATTTCCCCTTGAGTAAGTTTAACACTTAATTTTTAAAATGCATTTAGAATAGTTTGGACTCCTCTTGGAGACACACATCAGATACTCAAACAAGGGAGCAGGCTCCAGCAGAAAAATTATGGAGGGAGACAAATTGAGTCTGGGAGAGGCCATTACTGCATGATCGGAACCATCACATCCCTGCCAAATAGAGGACTTTGTTACTTGTTAAAAGGAAGCTTTTTAGATTAAGGAGAGAGAGAATTACATAACCAGACACCTGGAGAAGAGAGACCATGGGGAGATAAAGAATCAGCCCGCATATGAAAGAAAAGCAGGCATCACCAGAAAAGAAAATAAACAAAATGGAGGCAAGCAACTTGTCAGAGAAAGACTTTAGAGAAATGGTCATAAGGAGGCTGAAAAAATGGAAGACAAATTCGGCAATATGTGTAAGAACCAAGAGGAAATGAAGAAGAACCAAGGAGAAATGAAAAATGACATCACTGCTGTAAAGAACTCAATAGAAAGCATCAAGAGTAGACTAGAAGAAGCAGAGGACCCCATCAGTGAGCTAGAAGACAATGTAGGAAAAAATATCCCAAGTAGAGCAGCTTCTAGAGAAAAAAAAAATTTTTTTTTAAAAGCAGGAGAGCCTACAGGAATTTTGAGACAAAACAACATCCGCATTATAGGGATTCCAGAAGGAAAGGAAAGTGAGCAAGGACTGAAAACATGTTTGAAGAAATAATGACAGAAAACTTCACTGATGTAGGGAAGAAAAAAACCCCACACAAATCAAAGAATCTCACAAGTCCCAAGCAGAATTAACCCCAAGAGGCCAATGCCAAGGCACATTATAATTATCAATATATCGGCAAACACCAACGACAAAGTAAGAACCTTAAAAGCAGCCAAAGAGAGAGAGTAAGTTACATATAAAGGATCCCCCATCAGACTAGCAACTGATTTCTCAACAGAAACACATCAAGCCAGAAGGGAATGGAATGAAATATACAAAGTCATGGTAAGGAAGGGTCTGAATCCAAGAATACTGTACCCAGCAAGGCTATCAAAATTGAAGGTGAACTGAGGAGCTTTGCAGACAACAAAGGACTAAAAGAGTTTACATATTACCACCACACCAGCAATACAAGAAATGCTAAAGGGTCTGCAGTTAAAAGAAGAAAGAAGAAGCAAAGAAGGAACACAGGGGTAAAGAATAAAAATGGCAACAAATAAGTACTTATCAATAATAACTTCAAATGTAAATGGATTAAATGCACCAATCAAAAGACACGGACTGGATAAGAAAACACGACCCATATATCTGCTGTCTACAAGAAACTCACTTCAGAAAAAAAGATGCATACAGACTGAGGGTGAAGGGATGGAAAAAGCTCTTTCGGGCGAATGGAAATGAAAGAAAAGCTGGGGTAGAAATACTTATCTCTGACAAATTAGATCTCAAAGTGAAGAACATAAAAAGAGATAAGGAAGGCCACTTCATAACACTAAAGGGAGCAGTCCAAGAAGAAATAACTCTGGTAAACATATAGTCATCCAATACAGGAGCACCCAAATACATTAAACACACACACACACGCACGCACACACACACACACACACACACACACACACACACAAAACCTCCTGGAGGATATCAAGGGAGCGATTAACAGCAATACAATCATAGTAGGAGACTTTAATACCCCAGTATCACCATTGGACAAATCCTCTAAACAAAAAAACAGCGAAGAAACATCAATGCTAAATGACTCACTAGACCAGATGGAATGAATTGACATCTTCATAACATTTCACCACAAAGCCACAGAATGTACATTCTACTCGAGTGCACATGGGTCATTTTCAAAGATAGACCATTCATTGGGTCATAGGCAAAGTCTCTTCAAATTCAAGAAGATAGAAATCATATTAAGCATCTTCTCAAATCATGTGGCATAAGGAAATCAATTACAATAAAAACAATCCAAAACACTCAAACACATGGAGACTAAACAGCATGCTATTAAACAATGATTTGGTTACTAGACCAAAGAAGAAATAAAAAACATCATGGCAATAAACCGAAATGAAAACAAAACAATCCAAAATCTATGGGACACAACGAAAGCAGTCTTAAGAGGGAAGTTCATAGCTCTGCCAGCCTACTGCAAAAAACAAGAAAAAATGGTAAAAATTATCTAACCCTACAACTCAAAGAGTTAGAAAAAGAGCAATAAGAAAAGCCCAGTGTAAGCAGAAAGAAGAAAATAATAAAGTTCAGAGTGGAGATAAACGACATAGAAATGACAAAACAAAAAACCAAGAGCTGGTTCTTTGAATAAGATTGATGAACCTCTAGCCAGTCTCATCAAGAAGCAAAGGGAACGCACCCAAATAAACAATCAGAAATGAAAGAGGTGAAATAACAACAGACCCCACCGAAATACAACGGATTGTTAAAAAATACTAAGAACAGCTCTATTCCAACAAACTGGACAACCTGGAGGAAATGGACATATTCCTAGAAAAATACAATCTTCCAAAACAAGAAGAATCTAAACATTTCAATAGGCCAATAACTATGGACGAAATTGAAGCAGTCATCAGAAAGCTTCCAGCAAAAAAAAGCCTGGGTCCAGACTGCTTGACAGGGGAGTTTTACCAACATTCAAGTAAGAACTAAAAGATATCCTCCTCAGACCATTTCAAAAAATTCAAGAGGAAGGAATACTTCCAAGCTCATTCTATGAAGCCAGCATCACCCTAATCCCAAAACTAGATAAAGACAACACAATGAAAGAGAATTACAGGCCAATATTCCTCATGAACATAGATGCCAAAATCCTCAACAAAATTCTAGCAAATCGGATCCAGCAGTACATCAGAAAGATCATACACCATGACCAAGTAGAATTTATCCCAGGGATGCAAGGATGATACAATATCTGCACATCAATAAACGTGATACAAACAAATTGAGAGATAAAAATCACAGTCATATCAATTAATACATAAAAAGCATTTGACAAAATCCAACACCCTTTCTTGATGAAAACTCTCAACAAGGTGGGAATAGAAGGATCATACCTCAACATAATAAAAGCTATATATGATAAACCCACAGCCAACATCATACTCAATGGGCAAAAACTAAAACCATTTTCCCTAAGAACAGGAACAAGACAGGGATGCCTATTCTCACCACTCCTGTTTGACATAGTAATGGAAGTATTAGCCATTGCAATTAGACAAGAAGAAGCAATAAAAGGCATCCAAATTGGAAAAGAAGTAAAGCTGTCTCTATTTGCAGATGACATAATATTGTACATAGAAAACCCTAAAGACTCCCATCAAAAAATTAATATACTTAATAAATGAATTCAGCAATATTGCAGGAATCAAAATTAATTCCACGAAATGTATGGCATTTTTATACACCAATAGTGAACTAACAGAAAGAGAGACTAAAAAAGCAATCCCATTTACCATTGCACCAAAAAAATTGTTACCTAGGAATAAACTTAACTAAGGAGGTAAAAGACTTATACGTAAAAAACTACAGTACTCTGAAAAAGATAGAGGAAGACATAAAGAGATGGAAGAACATACCATGTTCATGGATTGGTAGAATCAACATCATTAAAATGTCCATACTACCCATAGCAATCTATAAATTCAATGCACTCCCATTAAAATACCAATGGCATATTTCACAGACCTAGAAAGACCTCTCCAAAAATTCATCTGGAATAAAAATTTTTTAAAAAAATGCTGAATAGCCATAGCAATCCTGAGAAAGAAGAACAAAGTAGGTGGGATCTCTATACCAGATTTCAAGCTGTATTACCATGTCCTTGTTTTCAAAACAGCCTGATAATGGCTTAAGAACAGACATATAGCTCAATGGTATAGAACAGAGAACCCAGAAATTGACCCAAACCCCTATGCCCAATTAATATTTGACAAAGGAAGTATGAACATATTGTACAATGGAGTCAAGGCAGTCTCTTCAATAAATGGTATTGGGAAAATTGGACATATATATTCAAAAAAAAATGAAACTAGACCACCAGCTTAACACCATACACAAAAATAAACTCAATATGGATACAGGACTTCAACATAAGATGGGAAAGCATAAAAATATTTGAGGAATCCATAGGCAGAGAAATCTCAGACATATGCCAAAGCAATTTCTTCACCAATATTGCTCCTAGGGCAATGGAAACTAAAGAGAAAATAAACAAATGGGACTACATCAAAATAAAAAGCTTTTGCAAAGCAAAAGAAACCATCAACAAAACAACAAAAAAGCCCACTGTATGGGAGAACATATTTGCAAATGTTATCACTGACAAAGCTTTAATCTCCAACATCTACAGGGAATTTATACAACTTAATAAAAGGAAGATAAATGATCCAATAAAAAGGGCAGCAGAACTAAATAGAATCTTTTCGAAAGAAGACAGAAGGAAGGCCAAGAGACAAATGAAAATGTGCTCAAAATCACTAATTATTGGAGAGATGCAAATCAAGACAACAATGTGGTACCATCTCACACATGTCAGAATGGCTATCATCCACAAATCAACAAATGACAAGTGCTGGCAAGAATGCAGAGAAAAAGGAACCCTCCTTTACTGCTGGTGGGAATACAGACTGGTGCAGCCACTGTGGAGAATAGTATAGAGTTTCCGCAATAAAAATGGAATCTCCCATTTGACTCAGACATCCCACTTCTAGGAATATATCCCAAGAAATTAGAAACACTAATCGGAAAGGATATATGCACCCCTATGTTTATAGCAGCACAATACACCATAGCTAAGGTTTGGAAACAGCCTAAATGCCCTTCAGCAAATGAGTGGTTTAGAAAACTAGTAAATCTACACAATGGAATACTACGCTACTATGAAACAGAAGGAATTCTTACCATTTGCAGTAGCATGGATGAACCTGGAGAGCCTTAAGTGAAATAAGCCAGACAATGAAAGAAAACTACATGATCTCACTCATTTATGGAAAATAAATAACATTATAACCTGATAAAGATAGATACAGATGCAGTATAGCACTGAACAGACTATCAAATTACAGTGGGAAAGCAGGTTAAGTATTGGGGAAGGGGGAAAGAGATCAACCAAAGGACTTGTATGCATGCATATAAGCACAATAAATGGACACAAGACACTAGTAGGGGGTGGGATGAGAGCATGAAGTTAGGGAGGCTGGGGGAAGGCTTGGGGGGCGGGGAGATATATGAACTACTACATTTAATACTTTAAAAATAATATTTATGAAAAAGAAACAAAGAAAAAGAATAGTTTGATGACTTTTTTCCTTTGTTCTAGTTGTACAGTCTTTTGCTTGTGATATTTTTTTCTGATTAAAGTATTAGAATATTTATACAAATATTTTTCAGCTCACCTTAAGCTACACAGTATTAATAAGCCTTTGTTTTGTTTTTCTTTTCAGACGTATGGTCTGCAGGCTGTGTGCTGGCTGAACTGTTGCTAGGACAACCAATATTTCCAGGGGACAGTGGTGTGGATCAATTGGTGGAAATAATCAAGGTAAGGAGGTTGAATTGGAATTTTGAATTGGATGGAATTTTGCTACTGTATTCTAAGAATGCATAAAACACACACACACAACACTTTAAAAAATGGAGAAGGTGATTCAAGATCACATAGCAAGTTCTACTATCGAGGAAGTATAAGACCACAGCCTTTTGAGCTCTAACTGAGTTATTTTGGAAAAAGCCATTTTGGATATCTGATGCATAGAAGGGATAAATCTGTTATTTAAAGTACTTAAAAACTAGAAGATGACTAAATGTATATAAAGTGAATAAAAATAGAATCTCTGTCTGTTTTTCCTAACCAAGTACTCTTTCTTCCTGGTACTTTGCTAACTACATAGGAGATGCGTTTATCTGTTCAGTATATAAATATTCATAAAGTGGAAGACTGAATATCTACATGTATGAGTACACAGATATAAGCAGAATTTTGATCATAGGTTTAATATAATTTTATTATGTCTATCAGCACTTTTATTAACAATACTAAATTAAAGATATTATAACTTGGAATTAATGTTTATCTTAAGAACAGTAGGGGTGAGATTATAATTGTGTTTTTAAATGTATTTTTAAAAAGCTTTTAATATTTGAGCTCTTAAAGAATTTCCAACCCCTCTTTTTAAACATTCTAAAATGTATGTATTGAGATTACTTCATTGGTTCATTCTAAGGTTACAGTTTGACAAAACCAGCAGCTCCTGCTGTCTTTTGGACTTTATTATTGACTAGAGGCCCTGTGCATGAATTCATGTGCCACGGGGTCCCTCAGCCTGGCCTATAAGATCAGGCCAAAACTGGCTCTCCAACATCCCCTGAGTGATCCTGGATTGCTAGGGGCCTCTACTGGTGCACAATCAGGGCCAGGGAGGTTAGGCAGTTAGGGAAAGTCCCTGGGAGGGCTCCAGGGCATGTCTGGCCTGTCTCCCTCACTCCTGATTAGCCAGACCCCAGCAGCAAGTTAACCTACTGGTTGGAGCGTCTGCCCCCTGGTAGTCAGTGTAAGTCATAGCAACTGTCTACCCCCTGGTGCTCAGTGCACATCATAGGAAGTGGTTTAGCAGCCTTGGCATATCATTAGCATATTATACTTTGGTTGAATGGAAGACTGGACTCTTAGCATATTAGGCTTTTATTATATAGAATTTTCTAAATGTTTCTTAGAAGTGAAAAATTGAAAATCTCCTTAGAGGTCATAGTCCAGTATTCCATCCAATGCCAGAACCTTCTTAGATACTTTCCTAACAGATGGTTTTTCAGTGTTTTCTTGAACTCTTCTAGTCATCTGATGGCTACTTTCTGTGTCTGCACATCTTGAATTCAGTTTTATTGTATTGAGTTACAACTCCTTGGAAGCTTTTACCAGTTTTACACAGGATGGTGATTAAATTACTTTGAAATCCTTGCCGAAACCGGTTTGGCTCAGTGGATAGAGTGTCGGCCTGTGGACTGAAGGGTCCCAGGTTCTATTCCGGTCAAGGGCATGTGCCTTGGTTGCAGGCACATCCCCAGTGAGGGGTGTGCGGGAGGCAGCTGATCGATGTCTCTCTCTCATCGATGTTTCAAACTTATCTATCCCTCTCTCTTCCTTTCTGTGAAAAATCAGTAAAACATATTTTTAAAAAAATCCTTGTACTTCGTTCTATAAAAATGTTACTTTGGATAAGGTGATTTTGTTAGATATCATTTTATGCAAGTGTGGTTGAAAAGATCAGTGTGTATTCAAGAATATTCTTTGCTGTCCATGTAATTTCTTGTAATTTGTACCTGAGACCACTAAGATATTTGTACTCTTTTTTTTGGATAACTTCCTCTTTGTTCAACAGTTCCTTCTGGATTCCCATATTATACTCAAATCAAAATTCAAAATATTTTGATCTTTTTGTTTCCTTATTTCTCATTATCCATATTAATATTCTAATGCAAGGGTTGGCAAACTTTTTCTTTAAAGGGCTAGATAAAATATTTCAGGCATTGGGGCTAAAATGCAAATCATAGAGAGCTATAATGAGAGAAAATAAATTTCCACAGATTTTTTTATTGATGAAATTAAAAAATAGTAACTAAGTATAATTTTTTTGTAAGACAGTGTACTAATTAGTATAATGGAGTTCTTTTTGCGGACTGTATCATTTAATTGGGATTAAAGTTAGTGTTCACTATCATTAAAATGGTTGTAAATGATTATCCAGAACCCATTAATATTTCTTAAATGTTAGTGTTTTTTAAAAGTGACCAAAAACAGCCGAAACCGGTTTAGCTCAATGGATAGAGCGTCGGCTTGGGGACTGAGGGACCTGGGTTCGATTCCGGTCAAGGGCATGTACCTTGGTTGCGGACATATCCCCAGTAGGGGGTGTGCAAGGGGCAACTGATCGATGACTCTCTCTCATCGATGTTTCTAGCTCTCTGTCTCTCTCCTCTCTGTACAAAATCAATAAAATATATTTTTTTTTAAAAAGTGACCCAAAACAAAAGGAAACAGCCCCTAAGTCTTATTGTCATGAATATACAGAGGGTTGACAAAAATAGGTTTATAGTTATAAATAGATAATAATACAAATAACTATAAACCTACTTTTGCCAACCCCAGTACAAATCAGCTTGACATATCTGTGTTTCATCTAAAATAGTCAATATTATCTTTGCTTTTAAGTACAACTCAACCTTATTTTCACCCTAATTTTTAGCAAACACTTAGATTTTCAGTTATATTATGGTTTGTTCAGCACCTGTGCCTATACTCTCCTTTTCCAGCTTAACATTTTTATTATCGAATAGTCTCAAAGAGATTAAATATATTAATTAAATCAGAGTTTAATAAGTATAAAATACTTTTTTCCTAAGTTTTTTGATAGATCAATGACGTTATACAGGTGTTTGCAGTTTAATTATATGTTACTTGGTGACATTTCTTCTGCTGTCATATTATAGAGCTCTTGTGTTATTAACAAATTGCAAGGACAACACATTAAACTTTTTCCTATCTTTTCACTCCCCAGAATCTATATGTACACACCATTACACATAATGGTACTAATTTTTACTTGTAATATACACTGAGTGGCTGGATTGTTATGATCTCTGATCGCATAATAATTTGGCCACTCTGTGTGTGTGTGTGTGTGTGTGTGTGTGTGTGTGTGTGTGTATGTGTATTAGTGACCCAGTGCATGAATTCATGCATGGGTGGGGTACAGTCAGCCTGGCCAGGGGGAGGAGGGGACATGGGCAGTTGGCCAACCTGCCTGCTGGTCGAACTCCTGGTCGAGGGGACAATTTGCATATTACCCTTTTATTATATAGGATTATATAGGATATACACTGAGTGGCCAGATTATTATACGTTCAAAGATCATAATATCTGGCCACTCAGTGTATATCATATGTCATATAGAAACAAAATATTTGATTGCTTCATTTTTATATCATTTAAATTTTTCTATGTTTATTAGTGACTAGAGAAAGCAACTTTTAACAGCTTTTCAATCATGGACCACTTTGAAAATCTATTCATAGCATGGATTCTCCTCCTAAAAAATGATGCATGCCTGAATTTTGCATATGATGTAAGGTGATCCTTGAGCTTTCTGAAGCTCATCCAGGAACCCTAGGTTAAGGGTTAAGTTTTAAAAGCTGCATACAGCTGGATTACTGAAGTTTGGCGACCTCTGGTGTTGACCTATTGAAAAACAAGGCTGCGAGAGAAATACTTGTGTTTATTTCATAGCTTTTGTCAGATTCTTGGCTTTGTTTTCTTTCCTTGAAGAAATAAATCATAATTCCCAATTTTATGTTATTTAGTATCTTGATAAATCATAACTAAATGAATGGAAAAAATGTTTAAACAGGTATGGGTAGGACTTCATACAAATGGAACATATTAATTTAATCACAGGGGGTGAACAGCACTCCCAAAAGGATGTATATAGGCTGATCTCTGATTCTCTGTTTTTTTTCAGCACCTCTCCTCCATATTGATTCAGGAAAGTGAACCAAAGAATAGGTGCTTTTTTTCTTTTTCTTTTTTCTTTTTCTTTTTTTTCAATAAATAGAAAGGTCTTATTCTATTATAGATGAATGAGAATAAATATTTTTCCCAATGGTGTGATGATTTTAACATCTCCCCTTCCCTTTATTTTAATTGTGTGAGATATCATACTTACAGAAAAGTACATAAAACATTTGTGCAGTTTTATTTCCTGTAAGTCATAAAGGAACTCAGTGTTTTAGGAAATCCAGAAATAACTTGTTTTGTTTTGAATCTTTGTTCAAGGATATATTTATTGATTTTATTTTTTTGAGAGGGAGGAAGGGGCGGTGAGACTGAAACGAAGACCTTTTGGTGTATGGGATGATGCTCCAATCAACAGTTTAAAAGTTTATCTCTTAAACTTATTGTAACACCAAAAGGTATACTCAGAAGTAGAAATAGGGTAGTCTGTTTAAATGCCTTATGTTTGTGATATTGATGCATTCAGAATCTTTGTTCTTTATAGTCCTTTTCAGTCTTTAAGTTTGCCTTCCATTTATTGATCCAGACTTTATTCTCTGAATTAACAACTCAGCTATTACAGTTATCCAAATCATGCTGTTTCCCACTTCATTCCAGTGTGCAGAATATGCTTCTAATTCATTTGCTTCCTAGATTCCTTAAATAAAATCAACTCTTAGCTCTCCTTCCAGAACCCTTCCTGAATTCCTTCCTCACTCCAGTTCAGTGTGGCATTTTCACCTCACACATAATCTGTGCTTATGTTGATGTTTTGGTTTTGGCTGGTTGTAGTTGTTTTATGTACAAGTCTCTCAGCCCTAGAGCTCCTTGTAGATCGGAGCTCAATAAATGTTAAGACTAAGTGAATGAGTTAAGAAGCTGAAAAAAGTTTTAAATGTCTCTCAATTATGTCTTACCTTTGCATTCTTACATTCTTTTGCACCTTAGATCATATCTTTGCTTTCTCAAAGATTACATATATTACATATAAAATAAAA